AGTTTTAAAATATTAATTTATTAATAATACTATTTCAAGTCAACTTGAGTCAAGTCAAGTTTGAGTCGAGTTTAAATTGAGTCAAGTTAAATATTTAACTCGACTCGAATTTGATTTGACTCGCAAATCATCGAGTCAAAAAAATATAAACTTGACTCGATTTAAACTCGACTTGGCTTATCTGACTCGTGAGTTAACTCGACTCGTCCAGAACTCTAGACTTAACAACAATGGAAAAACTAAGAATTAAATGACAATCAAAGAATTATATTATTAAATTTGATATTTTATATAAAGTAAAAACTGTTACTCCTGAACGATTATTAAGGGTTATAAGAAATAATGAATTAAATGCTTATTGTATATAGCATATAATGATCTTTTAGGAGGACATTTATTAACAGATAGTGTATTTGACAAGATTAGAACACAGTATTATTGGCCTTAAATGTATGAAAGTATACAAGAATATGTACAAAAATGTGATTCTTGTCAACGAAGAGGCAAATACAAATAAACTGAACCTATACTTAATAGATGCAGGAAACCCATTCTATAGAATAGGTATTGATATTGTAGGATCTTTACCTATCACAAAAAGAAAAAATAGATATATCATAACAGCAATGGATTATATGACTAAATGGCCTGAAGCTAGAGTCTTATCAAAAGCTATTGCGGAATAAGTTGCTAATTTTATTTATGAAGATATTATATGTCAATATGGATATTCACAAAAGATTTTATTTGATAAAGAAACTCATTTTAATAATCAATTGATCACAAGATTGATTGAAAAGTTCCAGATTAAACATAATTTTTCAACCCCTTATCATCTTCAAACAAATGGCCTTGTGGAATGATTTAATAGAACCTTTGGCAAAATTAATAACACATGACAAGGAATGGGATCTTTATATCACATCAGAGTTATTTGCTTATCGCATAAGTTGACACTCAACTACAAAAATAACACCTTTCTATTTATTATATGGAAAATCAGCAAAGTTACATACTGACAATTCTTTAAATGAGCAACCATATGGTAATGTAAATACTAGAATCAAGGAATTGATAGACAATCTACCAGTCATAAGGTCTAAGGCTAAATTGTAGATCATAAATAGTCAACAAAAACAGAAAAATCAGCATGATAAGAAAATCAAAATGAGATTTCAATTTGAAATAGGAAATAAAGTTCTATATTATAATGCAGCGAATGAAATAAGGAGATCTGAAAAATTAGATTCAAAATAGAAAGGATTTTATTATATTCATGAGATCTTGATAAATGGATCATATAAGTTACGCAAGATAGAAGGATAAGTTTTGCATGCATCAGTAAATGTACAGTTATTAAAAGCTTATCATGAAGATTAGATTAGTTATTTTCTTTTATTATTTATTTTATTTTTTTTATATATATATCCTTTCAATACATAGAAATGTAAAGTAGATTTTTTTCGATGTCTGAAATTATTAATTCTTGATAACTACAACCTCTATGTGAAGATTTAGAACGAGATTCTTCTCTTGAAATTCCTCTAAGAGCACCCTTTAACAATGAAATGACTTTACAACAAAAAGTTCAAAGTACATATCAAGTACTATTAAGAGCATGTAGAATAGGAGATCGTGTACTCATTCTTGTAAATGCTTATTATTTAGGATAACTTTTGGAAATTGAATCGACCAATCCTTCTGAAAGAATGATGTTGCGAAATATGATAATTATCTATTATCAACTAGAAGTTACCAGGATTTATTATTTATTTTAGTTTTTAGAAGTAGAACAAATCCAATGCACTTGAATTATTAACTTTGCAACTATACGACAACTCAAGGCTTTTGAATTCAAAGCTTTAGTTAAATATGCTCACCAACTTTCTATCAGAAATGAGGAGAAAACTAATGAATTTCATTCAGAGTTCGAAAATTAGAAGGGAAGGATTATTAGCCGCAGTTTATGCGGTGCCTTAAATGATCATCAACTGCGCTAAATATCATACATGTTAAACATGTAATACATGTATCATTTAGTCAACTTTATAATATATGTATTGAATAGTATATCTTTCATTATAAATATTATATAGTCTATTTTTCATTATTTATATTATTTTCATTATATGTATTTATTGAAAGGTGTAGTTTAGTATTAGTTAATAATTTTATATAAATAGACCTGTAAGTTGACCTTGAGTCAACAGTGTTTTGCTTAGGGATTGAGATAAGTCTAGGGATTAGACTTATAACTCTACAGTTTAATAAAGTTACTATTTACACTTTTAACCTTCTTCTTGTCTTCATCATAGGATTGATCGTGATAACCTACTATACAAGTGAATTGTGATAATAAATTGTTTTGTTTGTTAATTGTTGATTTCTCTTAGGAAAGGCCTTTAAGATAATTGTGTTATTAAGTTTATTAGTTTTGTTAGCTTGGTTTGAGACAATTCCAGGTCTAACAACGGATACAAATGATAATACATCAAATAAAAACCAGTAGATAAAATCAAATTGTTACTACTTAAATATCCACATTTAGGAACGAGTTTTTACTTCATTTAATAGTGACGCTCGAAATAAAGCACTTGTTATATATTCTTTGTGAAGTCGTAATTTAGTTCATCTTCTATTATTATATTTATCCATCTTTTTTAATTTAAAACCTTTAATCAGTCGTTCTTCAGCTTAATCGGTCATTTACAACTATACTTGGTTATCTGTTGTTACTAGTCCTTAATTGTCGTATTTGTGATGATATTAAGATAGAAAATTTGTATATAAGGGCTTCAATTCTGCTCTTGTATTTAGAATAAAGGAAATTGATTTCTTCTTAAAGAGAGTCGATTGAAGTAGCAATATTTTGTTTCATTGTCCTTGATTCTGTAAATGTATTTTCATTACAAAATTGAATAATGTATGGAATTTCTTGAAGAGCTTTTCCTATGACTTTATCCAGTGGAATTTTTCTATTAATTTTGGTCCATAAGCGTCAAAGACAAATATGCTTTTTTAGAAAATTAATTCAAAAGCAAACATTTATTCAAATCGATCCGAACCAACTCACCTCGCTCTACTAGATAAAAAGGATGAAATAGCTACGAATTCAACCTATATTTATAGGGTTATAAATCCGTAGAAGGTTCGGTCATCATTAAAAAACGTTTTCAAAATTTATCGTTGGAAAAATCGGAAAAATCGGAAAGATCAAATTAGAATTGATTGTCCCGAATGTGATGAAAGTTTGACAATCGTTATGAATTCATAAATACTACGAAATAGTCATGCACTCAAGCGTTACTTGAGTATTCGGAGCTTTATCCAATTGATAAGTAAAGCATTAGTGGACGATTTCGAAAGGTGTGAATCTACAATCAAAGGTTCAAATATCATATGCGTATGTATACACCGCATTACAAACACTGAAGATGAACTACTTCTTCGAGTATATATAAGAAATTATCGTCACACGCAAACAGGGTCTGATTGTTTTATTTTTATGTGCGACAATATTTCTTTAACTGTCATCACTCACGCAAATTTTCATAAATTCCGTCATACTTGAAAATACATTTATTTCTTATTTCGTCTCTTCATTTTCTTATTAATAGTCGATTTAGTTAAATTCATGCAGGATAATATTAGTAATAGTTATATTATTGATAACCTCAAATGTCGAAGAAAGTTTTGATCATAAATTAATATTTTTTTTTTGATGATTAATAATATATTAAACTAATAAGATTTAAGATTCTAGTTCTACCTAAACAGTTTGTAAATGTTTATGGAAAAAAAAATTCTGAAACTTGAAGGAGGGACGATTTGTTTATTATTTAATCGATAAAACGATGTTACACAATTTTTGCATTTGGGCTACAACAGATCCTTTAACAATTTATTTTAACAGTACATTTGATAACCGACAGTAAATAGCTAGCTCCTCTAATTATCATTTATTAGTGAAGACGACTTCACCATTTTTACAAGATAATTGTCGAGTAACTAAAATAATTAATGATTTTCCTTCAGAAATACCTTTATTAAAAAGTAAACATCGTAAAAATTTTATAACACTCCATTTATTATTAATATAATTAACAAAGATAAAAAAGTTTTTAGAAGAAACAGATTATGAATTATATCATTTAGCAAATAAATATATATATTTATTATTATCAACGCTTTGTATCATGATTTATCGATAAAAGAAATTTTTCGATTCTCTATTGTTGGCTCCTGAAAAATATTCTAATTATTTTACCAATTGGTAAGAAAAAAAGAACGCAGAACATTAAAATAATAAATGTAACTTCGTTAAAAAATGAATTTGTATATAATAATTAAATTATAATAATAATTCATTTGAATTTTATAGACAGATCGATAGTCAAGGATAGGTCATTGACGGAGAAAGTAATAAATGGTAGCAATTTTAATACTAAGAATCACAATTATTAGTTAATAATAGTCCATGCATTTTAAATTTAATGTAATAATATCATTTTAAGCAGCTGTATTTGTAATGATTGAATGATTTTTCGATAGTCTGCAACGACAATGAAAAAATAATCATTCACTCAGATATTCTTGCATTTCAATCAGGTTTATGTAAGCTCATATTGCGGCACTATAAAAGTAAATAATGAAACGAAAACATTTTGCAAAAATAATATTTATTAGTGACCAAAAATTACATCTATTATTTCCCAAATTCGCATCATAAATATCTGTAGAGTTTCTCCATTTCTAGCACGCAATAATAATAATCTATTAAAGTTAAAATAAGTTTTTTAAAAATGATGTATAAAAGATCCAATTTTCAGCTCAAGGTCTTACATCAAAAAAATCATTATTATAATGACATTGTATAAGTTTGTATAATACTATACTGCTTGCGTGTCATATTGTATTTAATATTCTCATAATTCATTAAGCACATCATCTCTAAACTTTTGTTTTATGAATTCATGAAAAAATCGTAAAAACGAAAATCAAGATGGCGAACTGGAATGAGAATCGTCGAAATACATTTCTGATGACAAATGATAATTCGGCAACAGAAGAAGCCAACCATGTTTACCTATGGCTTAAGACATTATGTCTATCTCAAGATGAGGAAAAGTTTCCAATAAATTTTAATTCTCATGAGTTTTTAGTCGTGATGATCGAGATTCTTTTAACACTCAATTCGAGAGGTTATTGGATCAATACCTTCTATGTCTTTAAAGAGGTTACATAAGAATAATTTAAAGAATATTAAGAAAGTAAAAAGGTACATTCAGATCTCTCTATATGCACTTCTTCAAAAGCGTATATTTTCTTTATATATGCACGACCAATATATAGAAGAAAGTTCTCTTTAAATGCGCACCTCTTTAAATGCACAATTATTATAGGTCTGATCTCAAACATCTCATTCAAATCTAGAAATGTCATTACTGACATTTCTTTTATCCTATTTAAATTTTCTAACGAAAATAATGAGAAAAAATATAATTAACAATGGAAGTTTGTAAATAGTGTTGCTATTAGATAGGGTTCTAAATATACTGTATGAACTGTTTTCAATTACTAGTTCGGTAGATATTGATTATAATAATGTTATGCCACTCGTCTAGATTTCTTGCCAAAAGACCAAACTCAACAAACATTAGGAGGCACAGAGTTAGTCTTAGTAAGCTGAAAGAATTAGAAAATGGGTCATGGTTGTTGGCAAATGACCTCAGATTACACGCAGTAGAAAAGAAGGAAACTACCATAAAAATAAATTATTACTTACAGTTATGACAAATATTGGCAATTGCGGTAAGTAGGTTTAATTTAATTAATTTAATTTTTTTTGATTTATTAATTTATTTATTTAATTTAATTTTTTTTTTAAAAATTTCTTTAAACATATATTAGCTTTGTCCCCGAAAAATCCTAGCTCAAATTGGCATTTTAATTCTACTTTAGCATTATTTGTTTAATTTATAATTCACTTTATAATTTTGTTTGTTTTAAGTTTCCGGGCAAAGCCAGAGGTTTCGACAGGCATCGAAATCAAAACCGTCGAAACCTATCGAAATCGAAGTTTTCGACTTTTGCCAAAATGGGATTTGAGTTTAGACCTGCAACCTTATTATATTATTAGCTATATAAATATCTATTAATAATAAATTTAATCACAAATATTAGTTTTTGCCACAAAAAAGAAAGACATTTCAATATTTTAACATACTTTTAATATTACTAGTGTATATGAATGTTGTTCTTAGTTTCGTTAATCAACAAAAATTTTATATTGTATTTTTTTCCGATCGATGGCGACTAGTCAATGGGGACCGTTGTGCGTCCGAAGCGAGCGTCACGCTGTCACATTCCAATTTTTTCGAGCTTGACATTTTTATTTTAGATTAGTGTTACATTTGCATTTTATTTAGTATAGTGTTACATCATTATTTATAGGTGGCTTACTTTAATGCTACGAACTAACCCTAATTCCACGCAACTTATCGGAAATGTTGCGCAGCCGTAGGCTGCGTGACCTGCGGCCGGCTTTCCTAACAAACCTTTCCTTCCGAACTTCCTAACCCTAATCCTAACCCTAACCTAATGAAACTAATGCCACAATGCCACATCCTAACTCTATGTCACGTCCTAACCCTAATGCTAATGCTACGCCTTAACCCAAACATAGTGCAATATCTATTAGTGACCGACCAACATTTTTTGCTCTATGCTCCGATTATAATAGTCCCGGTTACACTAATCACGTATGTAACATCTATAGTGACCGACCAACATTTCGACCTTTTGCACAGAACGAAAACGTCCTCCGCTTTCGCTTCGGACAATAATAAAATATAAATTTCAAATAAAAATTTTATTGTGCATATAATTAATTTTTTACTTTAAAAAGGGAATTTATGAAAGTTACGGGTTCAGATATTGTGCACCGCTTGTTTTCATAAAGATGTAACTTATTATTATAAACTTATTTCCATTTCGAAAATTTTAATTAAATATCAACATCAACACATAATATATTTTCCACAACCAAGTTTCTAATCGAAATCTAATTGTTTTGAAGAGCACTAATTAAAAAAGTCATATATTGAAACAACTTCAAGTGAATTAAAATATATGTACAAAATTAAATTAATGTTATATTGCTTAGCCAAATTACTGCTAATTTATGTAAGTTGCGTAATTTTAAGTTTAGATATCAGCTCACATAATATCACATGATCAACAACCAATATTCGCAAGTTATTTTTTTTTTTAATCTTATTGTAGGCTGGTATCTTAAAACTTTTGAATTTACATTCCTAAAAGATGGATAGTCTTGATTTTTCTAAAAATTGTTGTTCAAAATCAAATCGGAGTTTCATCCCCGTCTAAAAAAAATCAAGTCAAATATATATCATAACTTTGACAATTTACCAAGTTTAACTTTATTAGAATGCTTTGTTATTGTGAAGCAATGGTATAATGTCTGATGCAGTTCTCTAGGTAATGAATTGACTACTGTCCGACCATTTCTGAAAAAAAAATAATTTATCATATTAATTTGGTAAAATGTAATATTCAAGAATTACAAGAGGCTTTAAACAAAAGTAATGCAGTAGTGGCACAAAATAAAAATATTGATAAGTCTTCAAAGGCGATTAGTCTATATGTAAAGATGACGATATTGATATGCCTTATAGATAAATAGTTATAAATTTCAAGTAGGCCATTTGTAATAAAGTATAAAGGCGGTTAACTAGAGCATATATCGAAATAAATAGTGAACGTATTCCTTTAATAAATTTGGATACAATCTAAAAGTTTGTTCAAGGTAAATATTTGGGGTTCGCTGTTAAAATCAAGTTACGAACATAGTAAATCATATGATCCTCACGTGATATTAGTAGCAAACCTCTCATTTGCATTCAGTGTAATGACGCTACGTTAGTTATTAGATTATATCCATTTGACTCGTATATCAAACGGCCTGAAATGGCTTTGTTAGGATGTTACGTAACAACGACCATTTTGGATACAAGTTTAACAACCATTTAGACTTTATAAATATCCACTTTGTGCAAGTTCCGTAAGCTTACTTAAAACGTTAGAAGTTCTAATACCATGAAAAAGTCTATAAGGTAGGTGTGCCGAAAAATGAAAGGTGCCAGGTATTACAACGTCAGAATCTTTAGTTTTCGAGAAATGTTCCGAGTATTACATGATTACCGGACATATTTGGTGACATTTTTTGGATATCATAGGGTTCAATTAATCATTATTTATTAAACTGAGAATGCTTTATATTTATTAAAGCAACTATAATTTAATTCTTAAAATTTTTTTTTTTTTGACAAAAGATAATGTGAATTCAAATTATGAAATCCGGCTGTTCAGTTGTCGACCAATATAAATTGTCAGAAATATCAAAGACATATATTATAATAAACCAATAAAATTTACTAATGATTTATAATTAATTCGATCTAATGCTACAAATTTTCTTTATGTGTAAATAGACGGAAGTTTTTAACTTTTATGCTTAAATGAGTTTCAATTATTCTTTATATTCATAATATAATGTAAGTAGTACCGAATGTTTTCCACAACTTGATCTGGAAGATACTTGAGAATCTAAATAAAGATTTTATTTTCATGTTATTACTTAAAAATGATTACTGTGAAATTGCAGCTAAATTTTATTTTACGTTATTTATGGAATCTTTTTGCGCAATATCCCTTGGATTTATTATCAAAGGTACTCATTATCCTGATTGCTTGCCTCCGAAATGTTATTTGCGCAATAAAAAAAATATTGTGTATGACAAAATGGGAACACTAAAATAAATATTTTATTTGTGTTAATGTTAAATCTGGACTTATTTTACTAAAAGAAAAATCATATTTAGTTAAATATATACATACATTTTCGTAGCTTTCTCCCTTTCTACTGACAAAATGATTTACGAATTTGGAGTGAATCTCGGTTGTGTAAAATAGATAAAATGCTTTTGAACGAGCTTAAAACACCTGTGAGTGTCTTACCGCTATCTGGTAACGATACGTCGTCACTTGCATGTACATGTGAGGATGAAAATTTTTATAAGAGTGACCTTCTGCACAAAATACCGAACTTAAAAAATTTTATAAATTTATATCAAAAGGGAGGAAATTGTCGAAAAATCATTTTTTTTTTTTTTGAGTTAATTGCTAGATCTGAAAATTTTTTACTTAAAGTAACACAAAGAATTTGATTTTTTTATGCTAAATATGAACTTTAAAGTAAACTTTGTTGTTTCCTGCCCTGCGAAGCATTGATGGCAAATGCCAGATCATTTGACTATTTTGAAAAACCCTTGTCTATGAATGACTTTGTCTTTTGAGGTCATTTATCATTTACAATATCATCCTAATGCGAAGTTAAAGGATAAGAAAATTTTAAGTGAAATTATAAATAATTTTGACCAGAATTACAAGGCCACATGACATAAATTCTCCGTCATTTGTCATTTGACTTCAAATGACCTTCAATGATTGGTCATTTGTTCATTTAATCAAATTTGAGAGGCTTGCCATCAATGCTGCGAATTACCCATTTTCTCAGGAGAAAAGTTACAAAGGTTACGTGTTTTATGTTAATTATTGATGTAAAATTTCAAAAAAAATTTGAAATTTGTAGTTTATTAGCACAAAATTTACGAAACGTAGTTATCGATTAATCAACGTCAATTGTAAATACTACGAATATTTTCTTTTTCAAGTTAAAAAAAAAATGATAAATTATGAAAAATCTTGCATTCATCCGGAAATAGTCGGAAAACGTCCGAACATACTGAAATCTTGTAACTTCAATACGATTTTGAGGATTTTAAGTTTTAAATCATGCCCAAATTTCATTATTGCCAATTTTTTGTTCCTTAATACCAAATTGCAAATAAATTTACAGTAAACATCGGATATTAACCAATGAATGTAAGCCAATGGTATTTCAGTTAATCTCATGCTTTGTTTCGTTAAATGATGGAAAAACCATCTTAAATTGATGTTACAGAAAAACATCTTGATTCATAAGAATATGTTAGAATCGCCCGCCCGAAGTAAGTTACCCTTATGCATGAACAAAAAAAAAATCCTTAGACAGCTCTAGCTCTTTCTTAATTAATATTATACTTAATGTAATTTCTAGTATGGAAAATTAATAATGGCTTAAGATACCGCAGTTACACAAAATTTACAATTACATTTTCGAAACCGCAGTGCCGAGTCAAATTTTACATTGGGTCTTAGTAAGTCGTTTGTATAATAAGACTGTTTAATTTAAAAAATATATAAAATATATGAACTTTGCGAAGCGTTAATTATTGTTCTATCGGGTCAATATCAAAGATCTTACTCGATAATATATTGCCTTAGATTTATTATATAACTTTTTCTATATGTCACTTTAAGAAAAATTTGTGCTCATTTTTGACAATTTTTCAAAAATTGTTAAAAGTTATGTGATATTATTTTATAAATTTAGATTCCTTTAAAATCAAAAGAACCATGGTAACAGATTATATAGCAATTTTGAGAGTATTTCTGCAGCATAATAAACTTTTTAATTGTGATAATATCTAGTATTACAGTTTTCGGGGGCTTTTCCAATGCAGAATTATTTATACTACAAAATTATAATTATAAGTAGAATTTTTTATAATAGACTAGTTGTTAAACCCGTTGCTTTGCAACGGGGTCTAAAATTTGCATTTGTTCATATGATCGACATTGGTTGGAAAATGAATAGGCAGGTTTAATGTGAGTCTCAGTTTTTCAACGAAGAAGCTATCTGGGAACTTCAACATTTGACACGTGATCAATATATACGATACGCCGAATGGTTTATATCAATTAACTCGGAAATGAAATTTTCATAGAGCTACCCTAATTGGCTAAAATTTACCATTGATGGAGTATAAAAAGTAATCATCATCAAAATCAAAAAATATTATATAGCAAATAAAAAATATTGTAAAACCCAATCAAAAATGAACAAAATTTATCATTTTCTAGCTTTTAATGCCCATATAACAAATTCAACCATTCCATTTGTCTTCTATTTACCTAACTTAAGAGCTCAAAGTCAGCAATAATCAAGAACTGGAAGATTCTGGATAAACGTCTTCCCATAAATAATAGATGAAGAGGGCTATAATTCATTCGACAACATTTTCGTATTGTTATATGATTAGTGGCTCATCCTGCATTTTTTCCTAATGTAACATCTATACGAAAGCAATTGCCATTGTATTATGACGACTTGCAAATGAAGCAGGTATCCAAACACTTGGAGTAAGCCAAGGTTCAGTATGTAATTTTACAGATCAATTCTTAGAAGCATTATTAGATTTGAAAATAAATCGAATTATGTGACCACAAGGAGCTCGATTAGCAATAGTGATACAGGGATTTAAAGTGAGACTGGTTTAGAAAACCGTAAATTACCGAATATAATTGGTGTTATAAATGGGATACATACCTAATTCGCCCCCTTCTAAATATTGAGTTGAGCATGTTTTATAATTCGTAAAGCTTTTATTCCATTAATCTTCTTGGAATAGTTGATTTTTAAGAAAAGATTACTTATATATATGTTGGAGAAGCAGGTAAAAAAGGTTTAATTTAAAAATACATATGTACTTTATTAAAATTTTTTTTATTAATAATTTTTTTAATAAAAGGAAGTGTCTATGATGCCCGTGTATTCTATCGTTCTTCAATTTATCGTGAGATTTCTTTAAATTCTGAACAATGGGTTCCAGGTAGTACATACATTATTTGTGATACCCTTTTAAAACATACTTGATGAAATATTTGATGATTTTGATGTAACTTATTGAGAACGAAAGTTTAATAAGATTATCTCAATGCGAATGGTTGTTGATCGAGCATTTGAACGATTAAAAAGGCGGTTGAGAATTTTGTCAAAAGAGATTTATTGCACAGATTTGAAAAGAATTATTAAAATAATTCATGCATGCTGTATTCTACATAACTTCTGTATAGTAATGGAGAATTGTTACCTTATTTACCTTTTGAAGATATTGAAATAGCTGATGATGATGATGATGATGATGATGATGATGATGGTAAAGATAGTGAAAAAAACATTTATAACTAATTAAGGAAGAGAAAGAATAGCGGAGCGGTGAGTATAACCTTCTTATGAATCATTAAACGATTCTGCAATTTATTCTTTTATTTGTAGCAAATACAATATAAATTTTAATACTATTTTAATTAAAGGTCAACGGTGACACGAGTATTATTTTTATTATATTATTAGATTTTAATATTTTGCTTTTTTAAAGTTGCAACCTTTTTATTTTAACGGTTCTTTTCATAAATTCATAACAAATTGGATAATAACCTTTTTTTTTTTTGATTATTCAAACAAAATCAGTTCAGTTCGCGCAGAGGTTAATAACAAAATTTATTTCTCGAATGTACAACATATAATTTCTATTATTCGAATTATTAATCGTGAATAAAAAACAGTATCTTTTAAAACAACTTTTTTAACATTGTAAACAAATAATAAAGACGTTGCGTTATAATCTGTTACTAATTGATTAGAGTTCAATTTATACGGAACATATTTACCACTATATTGTTAAAAACTGGGTACACTATAATATTTTATTTTTGAAAATTCACGCAAGTTCTAAGTAACTGAATAAGTTGCTAAATGAAACTGTGATAATATATATAGAATATGAAATATTTGATTTTGGAAGAAAAAAAGCATTTAATTTTATTCAAAATATACAAAATATCATTTAAAAATCAAAAGATGACGAAATATTTTGTAAATTTAATAAATTTATTTTCGAAAATTTATTCAGAATTTATTATAGGAATTATTATTGATTGATTACAAATTTTACAAAATTTTTATATATTAAATTTATTGACCTAAAAAATATTAATTAAAATTAACGTTAATGAATTCAAATACCACGACCACCACGACCACGACCACGACCACGACCACAACCACGACTCCGACTACGACTACGACTATGGCCACGACCACGACCACGATCACGACCACGTTCTTGACTTTCATCGCGTGCACGATTATTATTACCACTTCTTCTAGCTACTACTACACCTATATGGTTTGTAAGAGAAATTAATTCAAAATTATTATTATTTCTTTTTTAATCGATTTATGTTAATAATGGGTTTACCATCATCTCGTTTATTAATAAATTCGGGATAATCGGCAAAAGCAATGTTTTCTGAATTAATAGGAGAAGCGTCAACTGATGGAATCGTAGCACTTAAAAATGCAATGGTAGCGGCTAATAACGTAGTAATTTTTGACCATAACATTGTAAGAGAGTAGTTTTGAATTTGAAATTTTTAAATACTCGGAAATTATTTTTTTCGTTCTTGTGAAAAAAATAAAAAAAATTGAGAGCAAAGCTGCCGAATTTATAAAAATTTGATGATATCGAATTTAGCTTTTCCAAAAATAAAAAATTTTGAGTTCATGTTATTTCCGGAAATTTCGTACTTTGAAAATAATAAAGTAAATATTATTTTCTTTTCCCTCAGTTTCATCCCTTTCTGTTGTTTTAAATTACCTTTTTAAATAGAATGCAGAAGGGAGTGTTTTCTATTAATTCCAAAATATTTTATTCAAATAAACCTTATTAGTAAAATTCATTCGTATGTTTGTTTTACGATATTTAAACTCTCGCATTTTTAAACGCCAACTTGCATGGGAACTCATTGACGATTAATGCGCCAGTAAATTCTATTTAGATACCAAAGTCAGATAATGTGTTATAAATAGTACTTCAAATAAAAATTTGCTAAATGATGCAAGTTTAATGAAGATTACATTATAATTATTTCATGGCACTTCCCGAGTTTATCAGAACGTTAAATTTCTCAAGGTAAAACGGTTGCATCGAACAATGTTTGTCACACACATGCAGGTACCTTTTCCTAATCAAGTAATAGATAAATTTCAAACACAAATTTTATTTTTAACCGAATTTATTTGATTGGTCAAATCCGCAAAATGAATAATGAAATTCAAATATTAATAATCATTATACTTTATTAAGCATAGTGCAGTCTGGGATTTTACCAAAAATGGAAACCGAATCTAGAATAATCGGCAGTCACGTTTCTAAAATTTAATTGGTTATTAATTAAAATAATTGTAATACTTTCACCGATCCAAACGGCAAAAAAAAAATTATAATGCAATTATAATAAATATACGAATATACTCTTTCAAATATATGCTTTTATAATCCGCTTTCA